AAAATAAAATAATAAGATAAAATAATTGAAACTCATTTTATAACAGTATCAATATCTTTTTCAAAGATAACTTTAAATTCAGAATTATATTAGTAATCTATTTTCTAAGAATATTGCTTAAAAAAATAAAATACAAATACAGGTTATATTCTAGATACAAGAAGTATAAAAAATAAAATTATATTCTATAGTACTAAATAACTTCAATATTAACAACTCCAAAACAAAACTATTATATATAAAATTACATCTAATCAACTTCTTCTAAGCAAATAACCTATATAATCTTGTGAGTATATTAGAGCAGCCTCTAAAGTTTGAGTTGATGATTGATATTAAGTTAATGATCAACTCTAGATCAATAATCTATATCACTACTACAGCTTTTTTGAATATCATAATTATCTACTACTTTGTATAGTATCTCTTATTGAAGATTAATAGCAGTTAAATTCTTAATATTTTAGATTTTTAGAGTACAGAATTAATAATAAACTAAAAACTAATATATAGTTTATTTTATATTATTAGACATATAGATATACTTTATTTTAAATTTGATTTTATAAATTAGATATGCAAGAGTCTTTAGATTCTATTACTTTTTTTTTATTTTTAAAATATATTATTACTAATATTATTTATTAACTATATTCTCCTTCTCAAACACTATATTAGCTACTGATCTTAGTTCTTCAGAGTATAACAAATATATAAGATATAGATTTTTATTATTTTTTAGGCCTATATTATTTGCTGTTTTCTTTACCTTCTGCACTTTGTATATCTTTTTTCATTTCTACTAACTTATTCCATTTTATCCTAGTACTAACATACTGCTAATTATTATCAGTTTTGTCTAAATAGATCTTTTTAAAAGCTTGTTCAACTAGTTCCTAATTTGATTCAATGTAAATATGAACTTCTTTATTTAGATCTTTATTTACATTAATAATATAACTATCAAAAAAACTATTAACAATATAAGTTTTAATAATTTGAGTAATATCTTGAGTCTCTGGTAATGTGGTATTATTAGGATCATTCAGAACAAAGAATAGAGGTATAGTTTAATATTTAAATTCATATTTAAGTAAACATTATCTTTTTCTATTAGATGTATTTATAGTCTGTCTTACTAAATATTTATATAGAAAGAAGTAATTTTTAACAAAAGTAGAGTAGCTAATATAGTGTTTGAGAAGGAGAATATAGTTAATAAATAATATTAGTAA